ACATGAATATTAAACCAATACGAAGTACAACAACATATATATGTAGGACTTATTTCTACTGTCAATTACATCGTAAAAATATCTCCTCTTCAACTTGAAATAAAACGTCTATTGTAAACCTTTACTATAATCGATACCCCTGCCATAAAATTGAAACGAATTATATTTTTTCGTACTGTTCTGACAAATAATTATTCGGTGCTTACGTGTATGACACGAACGTTTGCCTGTCCAACAATTGAACAGGATTGGCCGGAAATCCGTCAAAAGCTCCATGCGGGTCAGACCGCCTTCGATCGTGCTCAACGTTGCGCGAGGGTTTTCAAGCAAAAACTAGACGCNTCAAGCTACACAGCAAGCTCCACCTCTCAGTGGTAGTCCGGCTACAGCGTATCGCGCAATCTCGCTCTCAATCAGATGCTACGCTCTCAATCAGGCGAATATGTTGTTGTGATCATATCCTTCGCTATGATAATACAGGAGTATATATCAACAGTGGCGGGCATCAATTTTCGAATATACTTCAATTACAATTATTTCACATACTTGCAACAACCTTCCTTCGCGCCTTCTGCTATCACCGCAGATGTTACCAAAAATCTTCGGCAAGATTATTTTCCGCATCATCGCCGTCATCGAGTTTCAGGTGATAATACTCTGCATCTCGATCCCTGTTCAAAATGTGGTGCATGCTCATCACGACATCAACATGTCCACACCGTTTATTTCAGCCAATCATCTTGCTCCTCTCTTTGCATGAATTTCTTTCCGCCACACGTTCAGAAGCGAGGACTACCGCACTCCCACATCGTGTTCAAAGGTGGGACTGGAAATAGATACCCCGTGTTCATTGTACGCAACGCACTACTATAAGCGAGCAAATTTTACCCTACCTACTCGCTGTTGGCATCACTATTTGACTCTTCGCAATCACTCGTGTTGAACAACGTCCCCACTGATTTCTGCCCATTTTCCTTCATCTTTGTTCCTGTTCCCTCACGGTGTTAATTTTGCGACGAAGACGCTCCTGATAACCCGAATGCGATCGACCGTCACATACGCGCGACATGGCCGGACAAAGAGAATGAACCGGAATTGCACGCCACCGTCGAGAAATTCATGACGCACTCCGGATGCAAGAAGAGTAAAAGACGACAATGTTACCGGGAAGGGCACATCCAGTGCAAGAAGCGATTTCCTAAGCCACCACAAGAAGCCACGACTTTCGACGCACGAGGGTATCCCCTGTATCGACGTTCGGCGGATAACGGCGACATCGTCCCGTACAACAGCACCTTGCTGTTTATGTTAAACGCCCACATCAATATCGAAGTCAGCGCGACCGTCAACATCGTCTCCTACATGTTGGCGTTGAGTATATATTCATTATAACGTTCGTTCCCCGATGTTTTGTTATCCTGATTTTTAATTAATATATTCACGACGACAAGAGGTGTGTTTTTTCGCGTTGGATCACCGCCCAGTAAGTCGGCTCGTTGCCCATGTTTCGTTTCACGTTTCCCCTCACTGTTTCTTCCGTCATCCGCCCACCACACTTACTACCTCTCAGGTACATTAATAAAGGACCTGACCGATCTTCATTCGCCATCACAGAAGTCACCGGAGACACGGTGGACACAATAAAGCAATGGAAATCATTACGTTGTTTGACAGCTACGGAAGAAGCAGCTTGGAGGTGCACAATAAATGGCATGCACTTTCGGCACCCGGCCGCCGAAGGTACATAATTTTTGGGTATATCATTTTCAGCGTTCATATTCGACCTATGGCATACATCCAGAGTCACATTGCCTGTTTTTTTTCAATTTTGCACCATTGCATATCGTCGTTTACCATCCACACACCATATGTTCAACTTCACATAACATCAAATCCGGCCGCCCTCGAATTTCTTTTCTGCAACCAACCGCAGGAATCCTTCTACACGACCAACGGACATCTGGCCACATTAGGAAAGATGGGTCGATTCCAAAACCAACTTTGTTGGAAAGGTACTTCCATCGTCCTACGGATGCTCACTTCGATGCTATCGACATAGTCACGTATCACTCACAATTTGGAACCGCAAAATCTCCACCGAAGTATGCGGACGGCAAATGTTGGGATGAAGCTCCATGGAGGGATCATTCGAACCTCTTACAAGTCTACAAAAGGAGACCTACACCAACGATGAGAACACGTTTTTTATTTTTCCTTCCCATATAACACCCTCAACACTTGAATATGCCTCCTGTCCCGAACGTTACAGTAGCTGTATATTTGTACCATGTATTCCCGGCCTTTACGTCCTTCCCTTGTGCGGATCGCAAATTAAAATATATGCCATCTCGCTGGATTCGTGTGCAGGTGACAAAAATATTTTTCTTGGCGGCACCGCGCGTCAACCAGGTCGATACATTCTACTTGTGGTTACTGCTGAAAAGAGGTGCAACACCGAGATCCTTTGAGGACGCCCTTACAATCAACGGCTTCGAACATGCGACGTTCAAAGATGCCGTCACAGCAGCCGGCCATCTTGACGACCCCCTTCTGAATGAGGCCGCCTTTGCTCTCCAAGAGGCTGTCGACAGCTACGCGACTCCGGAGCGATTGCGACGCCTCTTCATATTATTGGTGCGTAGCGACTTTCCGGTGGCAACCGCTTTCGACCAGTATTACACAAACATGATTGAAGAATCTTGGAAACAAGAACATTCCAACGTCATCGCCCAAAAACTGCAACTGCAGCGGGACCTTCAGCGCCGATTGGTCACGGAAGGATGTAGGCACCTCAGCCACCTCGGGATCGACGTCCCCAAAGGCTTCGACTTGACCAATTCCGACTTACAACACGAACGGTCGAGGTAATTTCACAATCAAAAGCAAGCGGACATCAACACCGTGTCGTCAGCACTTCACATGTTCACGACCGAGCAGCGATTCATATTCGAAAAGATCCTCGACGCATGCAGGACCGGGAAGGACGCCCTGTTCGACATTCGCGGGCGTGCCGGTTGTGGCAAAACCGTCGCTATTGGCGCTCAAACCCGTTTGGACGGGTTTCTCACGGCACCTTCGGCATCCACCGGCTTTGCAGCGCTCAACCAGACTTTCGGCCTCACTTTCCACAGGACGTTCGATGTACCCGTTTCGGATCCTCGTGACGACACTGTCTTGCAATCGAAACTCAAAACCGGCAAGCGTGCAGAACTCATGGCCAACACTCGGATGTGTACCATTGCACGTCGCCGCCTTCGAAGCCGCCGCCAGGGTCGACCTTCTGCAACATGTTACGTCATCAACCCGTAATGAAATTTCACTTAAACAAGGACCTGCCTCTACAGACTACGAGATCGACGGTGAGATTTCCCGATGTTTGCGACGCCTTTATTTTTGTTCTTTCTTGCCACGACATCGACTTTCTTTCATGGAACGATTCATAACAACTGACATATCGTCAATGCCGACAACGTCCGCTGCACGAGCTTTCCAAGATACTTACGAAGACCTCTACGACGAAGACATGTTTTCGAGCCAAACACGACATCTTTTCGAAGGTGAGTACTTTAATGTCACACTTCACAACTCTTTTTCCTATTTTTATCCGTTGGAATAATTTCTTGCCTTCAGACTTCTCTCTCTTCATTACGCCGTTAACGTTATCTGATTTTCGTCCTTTTTCCAACTACTGCATGTTATTAATCCCGGATGCCGCCATACGTTTTCCTGCTCTTTCGCATGTTCCTTTATCTCGACCCTCTCGCATTCATCCCACTTTGCTGCTATACTGCGCCGATCAGACGCCTCCCCCGGAAACCAACACCTCCACCCCGGGGAAACGGCTGTGACCACCGACGGACCCTCTTCCACATCTGGTGAGAACCTGTTTAACGTGTACAATACCAACAATCGTTGTCGTCCCCGACTCCCCTTCCCCTCCTTTCGAATAACCAGCTTCGTATCCATGCACAGGTAAACACGAACAATTCCTACATTTCGCTTCTCCTTCCATTTTTGCACACTTCCTGCCAGCGTTTCCCAAAAAAGTTTTCGTCATCGCGGGAGACACACGTCAACTCCCCCCAGTCGTCGCAAACGGTGGCGAATCTGAAACTACTGCAGCATCTGTTCTGTCGAGCGCGTTCTACCGGGACAACGTCGACGTATTTCATCTCAACACGACGATGCGGAACAAGGACGATCCGGATTTTTCCAAAATGGTCGACGCCATCGGCGACGGGGAAGCTCCTGTGGACGCTGACGGTCTTGTCACCATGACTGGTGTTGATACCGCGCTATCGTTAGAGTCGGCCATTGACTTCGTTTTTCCCTATTATGTTCTCCAGAATCCTACCGCTTGTGCAAAGCGTGGCATCATCTCCACTCACAATGACTCCGTCGCACGTGTAAACGCTGCGGTTTTATCTAGGGTGCAGGGCGACATGTTTACCTTGCGAGGAAGAACCATGCTCGATCACGAGCAAATGGATCCTGACGTAAATATTTTTTTTGAGGGTGTCAGAATTCTTGACCCAAATGGAGCAGAGCGGCATTCCATCACACGAAATAAAACTCAAAGTAGGTGTCGTCGTAAGGCTTTGTAGGAACATGTCCATCGACGCGCGTCTTACCAACGGCACGAAGGTCGTTGTTCAAGAAATTCAATCTTATACTTTACGAGTGAAAAATTTAAAAGACGGTAAAAGTCATTGGTTGCCGCGCGCGTATCACGTTCAGTTTTGTGACTTATCAAGGTGTTGCTGTCAAGCGCATTCACTTTCCCGTGCGTTTGTGGTTTTGTTTGACTGTTCATCGCGCACAAGGACAGACGTTGGACAAGACTTGCTTTGACCTCACACGCCATCCTTTCGCGCACGGTCATTTGTATGTTGGGCTTTCTCGGGTGCGAAAGGCGGACGACGTGATTATTTTGACGACCCCCGACAGGGTCAACGACTATGGTTTCGCCAAAGTTAACAATGTCCTTTACAACAGTTTGCTACCAGTTGTTGAGGATGATTGATATTATTGCCGTTGCCGTTATCAACGTGTATAATTTGAACTGATTTGATGATTCTACGAAGACTTCGATTCTTACCTGTTTTCGGATTTCTGCGGGGTTGTTGTTGTTGTTGTTCGTGTGTTTGGATACGGACAGGTATTGATCGACCGCAGTAACGGA